AACATCCCCCTCCTTGATCAGTCTGTCGTTACCAAACACGACAACACCAACGTTGTCAGGCTCCAAATTCAAGGACATACCCTGGGAGAGAGATCACATCACCCTGAGAAAATCCATACTGATACGCATAAAAACTTTCATACTGACATGATTATTTCACTGTGTACAAAATCCAACATGATCTACCTCAACCTTGTGGCAATAGTCAAGGTTCTGCTTTTATGTACAAGTGTCTATTTCCTTCCACACTGGCTAGAGAACCTGCCTAAGTTTTCAACTTACCAGGTAGTTATACCCCAGCAGCCTAGCACTCAAATCAATTGTTTCTCTAAAAAGAACAGAAAGGGTAAGCAGTGTTCAAGTACAACATTACTCCCTTGCCTAGAAGCTGGACGAGAGAAAAGGACTGGCTTCTTCTCTGCCCAAGGTGAAACAGTCATTAAAAACACTTGAAGAGCTGTTTCAGTACTCCTGAAATAGGTTTAACTCTAACCGACTGTGACAAATACAAAAAGCCTGCAAGCTGCATAATGTATTGAAGCACAGAGGTCATTATTAAACAGCAAACAGTAAAGACACCCTGCAACCAAAGAAAAATTCCAATGCCAGGTTAGTCCTTTTACTTTCTAAATGAACACAAAGACAGCTCAAATGTTCAAATGCTGGATGAGAATCAAATGCTGATATTCAAAGTAGTGTTACAAATTTAAAAAAAAAAAAATCACCAGTTACTACATATTGAAGTTGCAATGAAGCTAAGGCAATGCTGATAGTGGTACCTCCAAGCATGGTCTAAGGTTCTTCTTGAAAAACTGTCTTTTTAATATCTCTGTGCTAAAGAGAGACAGTGTACTGAGTGGCAGCTTACCTTCAGCCCAGAAGAGAACTCAACCATCTCTTCAGCCTGGACATTTCTCAGGCCGTACACGCGGGCAATCCCGTCACCGATCGAGAGCACGCGGCCCGTCTCCTCCAGCTCCGCCGAGGTGTCGGCTCCCAGGATGCGCTCCTCCAGAATAGAGGATACCTCGGCAGTACCTGGAGAGGTGTTTGAAATCAGATTAGCATCTTAAGGTACAATAAGCACTCAGTAAGCCTGCCTCTAATTCACAAGGTGCTCTTTCTCAGCTGTGCTCCAAACTCTAGCTAGCAACACCTTTACTTAGGCTAAGATAAGTATCAGCCTCTGTATTCCCAGCTAATAAAAGCAGCTCCAACTCATCACCACCACCCAGCTCCAACCAAAACACTCCTGGCTGTATAGTTATCCACTTTCCTGATTATGTCCTATGCTTTCCCTAGAAAGCAATTAGATTAATTAATCAGCCCAAGCCCAGGCAGAACAGGCCTGCTTGCAGAGCAGTTACTTCGCTTTGGACACACCAGAACACCCTGCCAAACGATTTGTGATCCAAGACTCACACATATAAAAATGAATTTCATTATGTTTCAGGAGCAAATTGTTTGATATAAGACATAAAAATGTATTCTCCATACTTCAACCTGCCTTCCAACTACTTGTTGTCTCCTCAGCTAAGAAACAGTAAACAACACTGCAAAACTTATTTACTAGTAACGTCCTTAATTACCTTAAACCACTTTAAGAAATTTGCATGAAGCACTGCCAAACACACTGCCACACAGTGCAGCTGTCTTCTCTAAACACCAGACTGCTGGCAGCAAAATAAAGCTGTGCTCAAGGACACAAGGTCAAACCCAGGCAGGCCTGGGTAAGTCATCCACTCCTCCCTTCTCTTACAGGCAACTCCAGTCTGGGGCTATGTTTTTTTCAAATAATTTTCAAATAATGCTGCAGGTGACTGGAATCCTAGTGGAGCAGGTACTCTATGTAAGCCAGCTGACACACGGCCACTCCCTGCTCTAGGGGCATTGTCATGGTATTAAAGTGCAGTTTGCTGCATGTGACCAGGTAACAGTTCACCTAAATATGCTCAGACCATAAATGTCCTGAAGTGTATTCAACTAACGCTCACCACAATCAAATTCCTTTTTGTCTGACAGAACAAATTCTTAAACCACATTCAAGACCTTCCTCAGACTCACCAGTTTT